CACCGAAATAGTTACCTTGATCAAATAGCAGTAAATATGAAATAAACAAATATACTTGATTTCTCTGTTAGCTATAGTTTGTATGATATATGAGGAAGGTCTATGCAAAATTTCATGAAGATCTAATCGTATATAGCTATCTTTACTCATTGGCAAATAACTTGGATCATTTACGGTTTTCCAGCTTGTTCCTCCCCTTTAAGCGACTAACAGGTGTTAGGCTTTGAGTTAATCTAGCCTCACTAAAACTCCGGGTCCGGAGAACCCGAAGGTAGATTACGCCATCGAACTGGATTTGAACTTGTTACTGTGCCCCGAAACGCGCAAAAGCAGCATATTCCGAGTCCACTGCGCAATTGACTGCAGGTGGGTATGTTCAGAGCTGAAATCTTCCCACTAAACCCATGAATCTTGTGTTTATATTGTAGGGACGAACACTTCCAGCCGCTTGTCCTGCAAACACGGCATATCTGTAAATAATTTGCTCCATATGTTCGAAATGAATTGGAATATTGGTAGCTCGGGAGGTTTGCTCAGTTGTAGTGGAGTTCACCGAGCTGGGCCATTTGGTTGCAGACGTTTCACCACCAGCTACCAGCTACTGCTACTTCACTGCTATCAATCCCGCACTGAAGATGCCACCTCGAATGGTGGCGAAACGTCTGCAACCAAGTTGCCCAGCTCGGAGAACTCCACAACAACTGCTCCATATGTAATCAAACAGGTTTCAGCTGTTGATTGTAGTCTGCTTTTGATATCTACCTTGCTTGCCCGGTGTATTGTGTCCGGTGTGGTGTTCACGGCACTAATACCCCTGTTTAATCCATATCGCATTATCTGGCATACAGTGGCGTATATTTAGGGGCCTGTGGAAACCCTTCTAACTCTAACCGCCCTTAAGGTCACAGCAGAGGTGTATTGCATCTTTGCGGCCAAATGCTACATAGTGGAAGTCCAAACTTAGATGTGATTTGATTCACAGTGACCATTTGGTATCCAAAGACTGATCTCAGTATATCCCGTTCCAGAAAATTTGGTGATACAAATTTTCACAAAGTGTGCTATATATTTCACCTTAGCTTCAGGTTCTATCAATACCCTTGAATGGCTCTTCCCCATTTTGCAATATGGTAAGTATGCTTATGAAAGATGTAATTGTTCGTTCTGACTGAAACAATATACGGCATTAATGGTGATGCCTAATTTGTTAGTGGTTTGTTGCGAAAATCGCCCAGCATATTTGTTAACAGTCATTGCGGTGTATACCAAATCTACTTCAAGCCAGCCCGTGAATGCGTCATCAGCTTGTCACTCGTCTCTGCCCTCAGGAAAAGGCTAACGACTTGGAATCCCTTATATTGAACAGGGACTATTGATATCCGTGCTTCAAACATGGACAGTGACGTGTGTATAACATTTGAATTCGCCATTTGCAAAAGAAGATAAGTAGACAGAGCAAGTAGTTACGGAGGAAGGTGAAGAAATGATTGAAAACTTTGAAGAACCGGGACAAAAATGTAAGGCTGATTGAAATATTCCATATGTGCCATTTATGCACCACTAATCTGTGAAAGTAATGAATACCAATTCTAGTGCGTGTGCGTATGGGAATGCTGAGATCAGCAACAGTGTGGCGGATTCACAGGATAAGCATAGCCAACTTCTGAGATAGAGACGCGATTGATGGATTAAGAAGCGTCAAATTTCATCTTGCTAACTTACAGGCGGACAAATAAATAAGTCGCCACAAAGCACATGGTTGTAGGGGCAGGAAGAGTAAAACCATACTAAATTTGATACCTGTTGTTGTCCCAAATCTATTGAATAGCCCTGAGGTTACCAAAAACTCTACAGACTATACGGAGTGTGGGTTTAAGCTTATCAGTAGCCACTGGTCATCTCCTCTGTGGTTTGCGCTTCTTTCCCTCGAATTCCGTTCATCCAGCTGTCCTTAATCAAGTGGACTAACATCAGTCCAATCTCACTCGTTCAATTGCCCCACCATTGTGTGGACACGTTTTATTGGTTTCTGTCTCGCTCTCTCCCTGTTCTTCAACCAGTTTTATGTGTTATTTCACATCTCATTTCCACTGGGACACAAGCGGTCTAGAGATCCATAAGGACTCTGTCACTAAGATAGGTTTCATCCTTCCAGATTAAAATCCCGTTGGCGCATTTTTGTCTGAATATTTCAGTTACTGATGGAGGAGTGGTTAGCTTCCTTCTAATCTGTATGTCGTATGAATACAACGCTCCAGAAAATATTTCCATGGGTCAGTAAACTTCACCTCTTAGACATTGCTTTGGGATGAGCTACAGATGGTTGACCGAAGAATTTGACTGTAAATAAGACAGCTATCTTTTGCTTATCTGCCCGTCCACACGACATACCACATCTCTCAACGTTTCAGTCCGTTTTTGTCTCCACCTTGTAGATCACCACAGGCGTTCACGCTATCAAACTTAATGTTACACATGGGTGCAATTCACGCTATCTTACATAGTACAACACTGCGTGTAACAGAGTTGCAAGGGAAGCCTAAACGTTTAAGTGAAGACAGCGGAAACTAGGCAATGTTAGGCAGTCATTCTCACCGGAAAAGCATTGGACGACTATCTAAATATTTCCGGAATTGTCAGCTGTGCGTATGCCAACTGACCCGTGTGTGGTCTAGAATACGCGACACTACTCCTACGAGTCAGTGAGTGAAGGTGAATGACAAAAACATACACGAGAACTTTATTGCTTGTGATATAACGCATCCCACTATGCACTTACTTGTATCTGACTGCCTTGCAGCGGATGTACTAACTTTCCCCAGGAACCAAAGTTTCCCTAAGAGAAGTCGCATCTTGACCTATGATAGCAAGTTGCGCAGAGTAGTTATCGCAAAACACTAGTAGGGAATTCAGATGGTGTAATCCTGATTCATCGAAATAAAACACGGAGAATTACCAATCTTCGATGAAGCACCGGACAGTCGTTTCTTCCTTTCTGGCCTCGTTTATAGTTCTCAGTTCATGAGCTTAGTGGGATCTAAAGAGCACCACCGAATGTCTTGCAAGCTGAGACACTAATGGTCAGAACTACTGAGCCTACCACATCCAGCTAGATTATTGGTAACCCGGTGCATTCTCCAATGACCATGACTTTAATGTCGCGCATGTATATGTTAGCTCCAACAACTTACAAACGGTGATATCTTAAACTCAAGTCACGAACTTACCTGTCACATAATATGCAGTATTCGTGTAATAATCTCTACGAGAGAAGTGTAAAGACCTTTATATGACGCAAGCGGAACTTAGCTTACCACTTAGGATGATAGCGTTGCCCCCTAAAGGGGCACAGAAAAGCGATGAATCGAACAAGAGACAGGTGGAATACCTGCTACTACAGGAGACAGAACACGGAGAATGCGTCAATATGACGAGAACAAACGAGTATCAACCTGTAGTCGGGTTAGTTTCGCTAGCACTGGAAAAGTAAAACAAGCTCGATCATCGGGAACCAGACTTTCGGATAGTTAGGCTTGATGTTCTGATGAAGAGCGCCTTCAGTCCAATTGCAGTAAAACCGCCGATTTAATTTGCTCCATGTCCTTTCTGTTTTAGCTCTTTCAACTAAATTATGGAGATGGTAGCGTGCCCATAGAAGTGGACTTCTATAGGACAAATCGACAGTAACAACTTAAAGGACAAAGTCCTCGCATTGTCAAGCCGGTTCCTGCTATCAGATTAATACTAACCATAGATCATCGTTCATACGGTAAAAATAATGGTATAGTATGGCCTGAGACGTTACTTTAAGGATCACGGGTACTTGAGGTACACATTAACAATGGACCGAAGAGTCGTTCATTTCGAGTCAGATTCCGACTATAGCTCACCCACTAGCCACAATTCTCCGTACACACTAACAGTCAAAAGAATTCACGTCCCTATGACAAATTTTCATTATACACACGATGGTTTATGGCTCACATGTTTTAATCAAGATGGGAAATGAGCCAGGAAATCCTACACATCTTCTGTACGTTCTTGCGAAAAAATAGTATGCTATAGAATTTCAATGCTTTCTCCGGGTCTAGCAACTCACTCCCCATGCAGTCTCGTTAATTCGGCAGGAGGCAAATTAGGTAAAAAATTACCGATTGTCTTCATGCGAACTCATCTTTATCAAGCTCAAAGAAGATACTATTTTACCTAATTGAAAATGAAACTATTTCCCTGTCAGACAACATTGCAAACTTCAATCACGTTTCTGTTGATCCCATTAGAACCAAATGACAAAACTGCTAACCCTGTAAGGAAATTGCATTGCCACCTACTCGATCGCTCAGAGTGCCAACCCCCGCGCATTGTTTAGACTTATCAACAAACAAAGACATCCCGTCAGATTCAGTTTACCAACTATTATGCGCGCGAAATTAACTTTATGCGATCAGCCTCACCGTACGTTAGTTGAGCAGCTTTCCTTTCCCCCGCAACCGGAATGCTTCTTAGATCAATGACCTATGACCGCCTCAACTCTCGTCAACTAAATGCACGTTAACTGTGTACGCAAGTAACTCATTTCGCAACTTGTATCTAAGCTGCTGATCAGAATAAGTGAAACAGCGTAATTTTTTTATTTCGTTAAAATGTGGTTCCTATTAGCGCTTGAAATTGTTGAAGCGAAACGTTTACATGAAATTGCATTTTAATTCACGATTGTTCACAACGAGGCTTTATCCTAGGATTGACACGGTCAGCTGCGTTTCACCATGGCGCCATCTTATACCAAAACACAGCGGACCGTTGTCTTGTTGAGTTCTTCGTAGTATTAGACAATAGCTTCACACCGGGATATTAGGCACTACAATGTGGCACACGTATCACTTAAAATTTCCTTGGAATGTGCACTGTTTCTTTTATGTACCTATAGCCTTATATGCAGAAGCAACGGATATGACTAACTTTTGCAAATGCCCTTTACCGAGTGTAAAATGGAAAGTAGTCTCACCAAACGTCACACTAAGGTAAGCAGGTCACTTTCTTCTGTTCAACTGCACTTGGTTTAGCCACTTTGTGACCGTATACTCTCGGTACATTGTGAGTTGTCTCCATGCACCTATCTGAAGACATGTGGGAGATGCAAAGCGGCGTAACCGCTATAGAAGAGATTATTCCACATTATACAAAATAACGGCAGCATATTTTTACTGAAGGGGTTTGAAAGTTCACGTTTTTCTACGGAGTTGCGTGCCGCAACTTTGTATTGTTCTTTTCTTACTGGTGCATGTTTCTGACTCCGATACGATTTGGACGCGTTTGTCCTCTTCATCTGCATCGCAATTTTTGTTGATCTGGTCCCAGCTCCTTCAGTTTCAAGCCCCAGTTTTAAGTACTTGACGCATTCCTTTGACAGCGACTCTTTGTAGTAGTTACGTATCAGTGAGACAGCATCTTGCGTGCAAGGGGTTTTTAATCGCTCCGACACGCAGCGTATCTTCTCCATGAGCTGTCTGTAAAAGTAAAGATAAAAATTGTGCAATAATGTGTTTAAAACACTAAGGTTTCTGCGTTATTCCAATATTTGTGCATAAATTTAAATATCCGAAGAAACGAACAACTATGCTGTTGTACTATATTGCATAGTACCCGCCGCTGTTCCTCAGGTGGGCACTGGATTCACATTCCAGCATTATATAACCTAATACTTGACCAACAGGACTTAGAGGTGTCTCGAAGTGTTCACTGTTAGTGACCTCTCTGAGTGCACTCATTTGTTTGCTGGGCTTGCATCTCATAAATGTGTCAGCAAAAGCGACCACCGTAAGTGAACTAGATTTCGTTTTAGCTGACCAGTACCTGGAAAGCAGGTGTTTACAAAAATGTCAGCATTGTACTCATGCAACTTATTGCTCTCACTGTCAGACTCCGGCGACATTGCTCTCTCTCTCTCTCTCGATTATCTGGGGTCTGGTGTTGAAAGCTTTTATTCGTAAATAACCGTTAAATGACTGGTTCACACTCCATTTTCCTAGCACATTCCTCATTTAATTCTTTCCTCTTCATTGCAGCCATCCTAGGAGACATGTTAAGCGTTTTCCCGTTAGATACCTGTTATATACTACTGCTTGCTCCATACTGAGGCTGATGTTGCATACACCATGCTATTTCACCGCAGTTGGGCTATCCCGATTTACCTTTTTAATGTTTACCGTTAACCTAATTACGTCCATTTCATTTACTCAGTACTCATTTGCTCAGTACACTCTCCCTACGCTGCACATGCCACTACGGTCTCCTTCGTACGCCTAGTCGCAACATATTCTTGGCCCAGCGCAGTATAATGCCTCAGGTGCTGTCAATGGCAGAGAACGGTGCGGTATTACAATGACGCTCAAACTCCATGTTTTGTACGTTGTGTCGGATGAATGGACCGAATTAATTTATGCCAAGTTGCGTGAACCCAAAAGAATGTCCGTTTGGTAAGCCAGACGGAAAGCAGGTTTTGTTCGAGATTGTCAGAAACTGTGGTTTATTGCGCACTTACTATTCGACGCGCAACTGCTCATAGCATGAAAACTGTGGCTGTTATTCTTACCTCCAAACCGAACTCATCCACTTTCGCATTAATAAGAGCCATGGCGATTAATGTTCTCCCACTGAGATCGTGGTGTATCAATGACAACGATGAGCCTACATGATTAAAGTGCATTAGTGTTGACGTCCGCATTTGTCTAGGCTGAGCCTGACGACAGCCTCAATAACCAGACGCATGAATGCACGATAGCATGCACTTTAGGAATTTTTCACACTTGGTTCCAGTATCCACATGGTGACCGGAGCTCTAGAGCATGGGAACACTTTCCTTCGTCCAGTACAGCAAATATGGTGCTATGTAGTCTCAGCCACCTGGGCTGCACACTCCATTTGGACCTAGTGTCCGATCTGAGTGAGACTCATACTGCTAGTGACCTCGATTTGTCTTCAAACACCTGTGACTTACTCATTACGAATACCAGGCCGCTCATGAACCACATAGGTCGTCCTATCAGCCCTACTCTGGACGCATAGTCTAAAGGCTACAACTGCCTTACATACGTGTATGTATGTGTGCTATACGTGTGTGTGTTTGTGTATATGTATCATAGATTCAAAGGAACACTGAGGAATCTGTGGATTGGTCTGCTGTCCTCACCGATTAGCTCGCATACAATCATATCGGGTGATTCGTAGTTGTGCTGCTAGAAGCGCTGGTGATTATGTACCGATTAGCCAGCACCAGCTTTCAGTTTTTGATTTTGATTGGACCGTGTTAGCTCCAGGCAATCAAGTGCTTGCTGCTTACAATATCCCACCTTCGTTCTGACATACGAGTGCAGAATTGGGTGTAGGAATCAACGATTATCCCTAGAGCCAAAGTACGCTACAACGCTTCCTCGCTTTAGAGTGCAGTATGGAATTTCGGGGTTCAATTCCAAACAACAATCGTTGTAGGTGTACACGTTGGCCCATCCGTGTAAAGTAAACAATCTTGTTAAGTAACTGACTAGCGATTTGCTGGTGCTGATACTACATGTTCTGTTCCACATATTACTCAAGAGAGTGAGTGTAGCTCTATTTCCCCCGCTGTTCATCCGTCATGTGGAACTTAGCTGCGCCTAAGCAAAGGCAGTTATTATCAAGGTCCAAGGTGGAAGGGCAAAGGCGCCTGCTAGATTTTGAATTAGAAATAGCCAATCATCTGGATTGACCTGGAAATGGGTTAGTACAACGAGGATGGTACAACAGTGCCTTAGTAAATATCAAGGAAAAAGAAATCAGCGCAAGGAAACACTAGCTTTGTAGCGCAGAATGGCTGCAACCGAGAGGTATGATGACCGATTGTTCTTAAACAGTTTATCGCCACTGTAAAGTATACAGTTGCATCTATCTACGCTTGAGTAATTGGATGATAGACAAGCCCTTTCTTGGAAAATTATCAAAACAGTTTAAAGAATTTTTCGAAAGCCGAATGTTGGACGGGCAGCAGCGGGATTTGCTTGATGTATTATTGCTGTGGTCGCGTCATATTCTCCATCAGCGAATGTGTGATATTACCGCAGTCAAACGGTTAAGTTAGAGCAAAGAACCCCCTGGGGAATCCGCACATACCACGGACAGGAGACGAACGGATCAGTCCGATCTCAGGCTGCGAGGACACGCAGAGACCGTAGCTGACACTCCGTCTCATGCACATGTTGTTCGACTATCATCAGCACCGTAAGTCCGAATTCGCATACAGCGAACGGCACGTGCAATACACACCAGCGATAAGCCAGCACTGTTTTGCTCTACCTATTGTTTGTGAATCATTCTTCCTGTTCCTCTCTCTGTCTCTATCTATTGATGATGCCCACACTTCTGAGTAAATTTAAGACTGCCATTTAGGTTCGCGTCTAAACATAAACTAACCACCGACAGTCGTCTTCGTTGCTTATAACGTTATGTGCGATTTTCCAAAATTATAAGAATCTGGTTGCTATATTTACATTCAATACGTACTCATGCGCTTTCGTAGTGTTATTGTCCATGAGGGGTACTGTTTCTCCATTGAAGTTGTGGTAGTCTATACACAAGTGTGAACAAGTGTCCGTTTGCAACAATGAGTCAATGCTGCCCCTGCATTCGTTCTCCTACGTTTAACTGTTCATACTTAATGCGATTAGCTTCATGCTCTATATTTTTGCTTCCATTCTGCTAATACCATATTTAAGTTCAACTGCATTTACTTATCGTTGTGCCTTATTGACAATCTGGCGACGTCAGTCGTGACAACTGCATCCACGGCACTTTGGTGCAGGATCATGGTTTATCAACTGTACTGAACCGAAACAACCCGGTAACCTTTAAGTATCGTAGGTTATTTAGGCAAGCAAAATTCCAGATAGAACTTGCCTCTCTTAACTGGAAACCAAAATAATAAAAGTGAGAAAACACTCCTCCACCAAGTCGTTGTTATTCTCAATGTGAAAGGTCAAGTTGAAAGTGGTGCCTTTTTTCCTACGCAGTGGTTCCTTGGAAGCCTGTTTTTCGTCTACCGGCATGCCCACCATAACTGTGTTTTAACATTACCTTTGATACAAATACGGGCAAATCGAAAACTTAGTGCTCAGGTGTGTGGCTGTTGTGTATCACGTATACCTTCGTCCGACAACACGATGTCCATTTTTGCCAGAGTAGACCCTTACTTAACGGTTACTCCAGCGCTACGACTAAACATCGGTCAGTACAAAGTCCACAGGCATCCAGATTTCAACGAAACATTTGAACTCAGACAGAGAGCAGAATGTATCGATTGTTACCATGTGTGTAATCTACACGTAGTCGCGGAGAAACATGCAGCGCATTGGAATTTCTGGTAGACAGATGCCGAGATTGTGTACCTCGGTGCGTCGTGTGAGATCTGATTGGATATCCGGAGAGCCGATAGAATTCCTCGGAGATTTCCCGTGACGCGCAATTTGTCGCAATTTACGGCGCGTCAGTGTAAATCAATGTAATGTTTCCGGATTATCCGTGGATGTTTTTAATGCTCGCTGGCCGGATGTGACAGTATCCCTGTGGGCGAAACCACACAAGGAATTCCACAGGTGTTCAGGTGGAGAAATATCATCGGTTCTCGCCGTATATCCTCTACTTCACAACCATTACCCGTGATAAATCAAAGGTTAATAAGTAACACCAAACACACCAAATTCTACGGTTACGCTGATGGAAGAAGGCTGCTGAACGTGTTCGTTTACCTACATGGCTCGCTTATGGTGAACGCCGGTCATTTACGGTTTTCGTCTCCAACATACAACAGACATCCAATGTTAAGCGAAATGCGCGAAATGCGAATGCGCGTGCAGAGACATGAGTTTCTCTCTCAACTTAGTGGTGCGGACGTGTGGAATTCTCGGCAGACGAGTGATTTAGTGCAGGGCTCAGCTGGGAAAAAGCGTAACGTCTAAAGGCACACCGACATGAGGGTGTTTTGATCATCGAGCGAGAGGAGTACAGACAGCCACAACGTGTTTCCGGCATTCGTTAGATGTCAGCTAACTTCGCGCTGAGTGCTGAAGGTCATGACCAACCGTAGGCGTTGGAGCGATCGATGGTTATCTCGGTGTGTCTCGCTGGCTACGCAGCGAAGTCGGCCCAGGCAACCAACACTGCAGCGTGAATGTGCGCACGTGACAGCAGCTCAGCTGGGGACGAGGGTAGTCATTGCAACTCTTGTCACTGTTATTGAATCACAGGTAATGGAGCACGAGCAGGCAATGCAGTCGGGATTACGTAACGTGCCTGGTACTCAGCGCGCGCTGATTATTCGGCTGTACGGTGAATGCGGTTTAAACGCCGCATCAGCCTCAAGAAAATACAATGCAATGAACGCAGGAATGCGTCCCGTCACCGCTCGGTACTTGCTTAAACTAGTGAAGAAGTTCGAGCAAACTGTGTGTGTGTGACACGAAGAGAACCGGACCG